ATTCTTCAAAAATTTGGCACCCAGTGTAAACTCATGATGTACTGTTAATGTTGTGATTTAATTTAACTTTCTGATCTCTTCCTAAATATTTGCATAGTTATTTTATATATTTCAAGTTATGGTTTCCTGAAGTTTTTACTATATAGCTTCTCCTTCAGTATACTAGACGATTCTTTATTTTTGTTTCATTCACAGTACTACCCACAGGAGTAACTTGTTCTAAGCCAGAAGATTCGGGGGGGGGGGGCTAAACAACTTTGGCTACTAGACCTACCCTAATGCCACATGTATATAAAATCCAATAGCCCATTAGGACCATTTCAGTCATGTCAGTGAGCACACCTCCATTGGTGGGTCTGTTGAATCTGTATTGGACCATTACGGAAGTAAGGTTGGTTTTATTTCATATTCGAAATATAAGATCATATTTTGATGAAGTGATAAACCATGCAGTTTTAAACTTTCACATTTGAATATCATTGTGTTTCTTATGTTTAATATTCGATAGCGTACTTATTGTAAAACAACTATTCATCTAATAATTTTAATAGAGCTATTTTACCCCAATTTACTAGGTTTGTATGATGCGTTGCAATGAAAATTCAAATGTTAATACACAATATTAGTGATATAGATGATTATATTCAAGGTACACAAACTTTTAACCTGCCATGTAGTAATATTGTTATATATGAAATAATATTATAATGTACTGATATTGGACGTGTCTAATGTCATTTGAACAGAATGCTTATAATGTAAACCCAGGAATATACACCACTAGCACGAAAATATTATCTCATTGTTTTCTTTCTTTAGAGCTAAATTTACTCAAACTCCTTGTTTTTGTAGAAAAGGGGGTGTCTTCTAGGTACAAGATACATGATGGAATTACTAATACAAGTACCGTGAAGAGATCGAAGAAAGAGGATCTGATTAAAACTTGAAATGAAATTTCCGTGAGAGAGGAGGTGGCAAACAAAAGAACTGTTCCAAGCCCAAATATTTCTGTGGGCGGTATTGGCTTGTCTTAAGGGTTTTTCCCACTATAATCAGTTCAACATTCAAGAACGTATGATATAGAATGACACATGTAAACAAGAGAATTAACAAAAACTCGTCATTTTATTTCTGAATTTTATCACAATTCTAGTTTCAAACCTTAACCAAAGATGAGGTACAAATAAATAAAGAACTTGTAAGATCATTGCTTTAGTAATACATTTCGGTTTTATGATTATAATAAAAGAGGTACAGGAATATTTAACAAATTATATGAAAAACACCTTCATAGATACTTTAAATGACATTTAAGTTTATAAACAGCATATCTAAAGGAAGTATTTGTTATAATCGGAATACATGAAATTTTCAGTTGTCTTGACTTCAAATCTCTATCCAGATGCTATCGAGTTACTTCTGCCTAATAAAGAAAAAGAAGAAATTAAAAGCTGATATAAAACTAAGGTTATAAACAAAACACTTTTGTGTATATGATGTGGAACAAGAAAGAAAAAAAAAAGCAAATACAGTATGAATTAGAATCAAGATTCCTTTTTTATTACCAAAATTAACCCTCTTATTTCTATGGTATTCTCAGATTAATTGATTTCATCAAAGAGTGCTAGGTAGATCTGATTTATAGCGGGACGATTGGCAGAATAAATTTCAAAGTCTGCATTTTACTAAACTAATTGAGTACAAACAAAGAAATATACAGACTATCAATAATTTATTATACAAATTCAAGCAATATTTATTTAAATCAATGGGCCTTCTGGTAACTTGATGGTAAATCTGAGGGCTTATAACGCTAAAAATCGGGTTTTGATACCCGTAGTGGGTAGAGCACGGATAGTCTATTGTGTAGCTATGTGCTTAGCAATAAACAAACAGATTTAAATCAATGGGCAAACATAGTTGGTATAGTTACTTTTTGTACACTGGACATTTGCCTGCTATGGAACTTGTGAATTGGTGAACACATTTCCTTCTGTCAAGATGTCTTCCTGTGAACAACTCGTTGAGAATTCATGTTTAAATCTGATATTTCTTATCTAATGGAAAATGTCGAAGTTATCCATAGCAAATGGAACTTTACGTGACTGATAATTCTTGTTTAACATAGGGGAAGCCGTAACCCCTAGACATCACCTGCTCTGCCAATGAAAACACTGCTGTCATTAACCTTCTTGCATAACGCGCAGCGTTACAACAAAATATCTCAAGGGCGAGTTGGTATTATCTCTAGACAACTATATGGGAACAAAAACAGCTCAAACGAAGTCAACTTAATGGTTGTCTATACCACATGATTGTTCAAAAACTACATAGATTCGAACAAATAAAATATTTATATCAAAATAAAAATATAGAAAACCTATGGTATGCCCACATGTCTCATTTCCTTCTCACGCAAAATATCGACTGAAACTTTGAAGTAATGTAGTCTCCATAGCTAATTCTAAATAAATCATGGATTAAACCGTACTTTCAAAATTATAATGTTTTAGAATTTGCAAAAACATAATAAGAACAGTGGTAACAATGTGATAAAAGTTCTTACCCTATTATCATACTTTTATTTAAAATCGACCCCTGATATACATCGCAGGCTAAGGACAAACAAAGCTAGGCTCCAGGTAAGTGCTGCTGTCCACGTGGCGAACTGTGAAGGAGGGATCGGTGTAACAGAACTGAATTAAATATATTATCAACAACAAAAACAACTTCCGGCATAAAACACAGTGTCATATTTATACAACATGTGTTGTGTTCTGTGACGATAACAGACATGAACATTACCAAAAACCGTTGTGAATTGTGTCTTTAAACTGTTTTTCAAAGTCAATTAAGACCTATTAAAATGTTAAATTTTGTAGCTGTTTCCTTAAAATATAGTAGAAAATCAAATATTAAACCCAGGAAGCGCATATCAGTATGTTCTTGGTGTTAGTCGCAGGCAACAATTACTCTTCTTGCAATATCAATAAAATGGCGTGATCACGCCCAGTTGCCATTGACATACTTTCGGCTTCTTTCATCAAATTTTCCTCAGCGGAAACTCTGAATAATACTATTTACTGTATCAAATTCAAACAATGTTAAGACGTAAAGCATTGTTTTTTTTGTTGTTAAGCGCACAGCTACACAATTGCTAGCTGTGCTTTGCCTACCATGAATATCGAAATCCAGTTTTTAGCAATATAAGCTTTCAGGCTTACCGCTGAGCAACTCGGTGGCAGGACGTGAAGAAAAATGAAAGCCAGTACCTAGATGATCTTGTTTAACAGCAATGCATATTAAGGAGAGCAAATTCTTACGAAAGTCCAGGGGCGTTCTTGGATGCTTCTACAATGAAAATACAATATGTGGCCTGATATTAGATTGTTCTGTTACTTTACACCACACTCAGTATGAGTGTAAAACAGACACTTTTCTGTCAGGTTCTTCTAATCTTATGTGAGAGGCTATTGCTCCTTCTGTTTCCTCTTTGGTTTTACCAGTAACTTCTGTGTGTTGAAAAAAGGTATCGAATGAATGTTATACGTCAACTACCTGAGACAGATGTCGCTAGTTTGTGAGAGGTATAAAGTAGAGCCAAAACAAGTTCAAAATATAGTTTTATACATCGTAAAAGTTTATTATGAGACAAAGCTATGACGTTTTTATATGTTGTACCTAGGGCATTGTATGTTATGAATCTTGCACAAACAGAAAAGTAAAGCACATACGTAATGAATATATGTCAGTTAAACTGTCAAATTTTAAGCATATAATGTATATCACACAAGTGCCTAAGATTACCCAAATCACTGTAATATGTTTTATCTGGATATTCATATTGTAATTAAAGATATAATGATTTTTAGATAAGTATATGAAATATGTATGAATTAATAACGTGATGTATCGTTGTGTAAAATGTATATTTAATTTTTTCTTAATATATCTTCATCTATGCCCAGAACCAAAATAGCAATCATTGTTATTAATAGTTTAACCTAAATTCTCACACCTTAGTATAATACTCGTTTGAACATTTATAACTTTAAAATTTGTTTCGAGAGCTTTGAGATTTATATGTGTAGCTTATCGGACAATATTCGAAAATAACAACGCGCTGCATATCAAGTAAACATCAATGTATACTGAAAGATATTGAATAATTGTTATAAAAAGACATCTATAATCGCTTTAAAAAACGAAAAGTATATATATGTATATTAATTACTTAGCTTTGAAATTGTATATTTTTTCAAAATCATAGTCTTTTCTTACCTCAGTTTTTAAATGTAAGCTGTAGAAACCGTTCATGTGCGGATAAGCTTCCCAAGCTATATGTTGTGCAGCATCACAGCTGAAATATAACATCATAAGCTTGAAATAAAATGGCAACCGTGAAATATATTTACCTCGACTTTGCATCTGTGTCCCATGTTTTCTAATTTTTTTTTAATTCGATTGTAGATCAGGTACGCTCAGTTCATCATGCCCACGAAGATGAACGTGCCATTTTGAATTTAGTATTAGTAAAAGAGTCTATCTCAGGATTTGATTTTGTTTTGGTTGTTGTTAAGCACAAAGCTACACAATGGGTTGTTTGTGCTCTGCTCACCACGGGCATTGAAGCTCGATTTTTAGCGTCGTAAGATTGCAGACTTATCGGTGAGCCATTGGGGTGGGGCTTATACAGAGTTTCATTCTAAGTGAAGATATGAAAACATTTACACATTTAAATAGTTTTTGCTATTTGACTGATCTCCAAATCAGAGATTGTATTGTGTAAATTACTGGAAAAGCGCTTCAAATAGTATAAACCGAAACGCTTAGCTTAAAATATATACATTGAAATAAATGTTAACGGTTGCACAAACAAAACATAACAAAACGAAATGAAAATGCAATCAAACTAAACTAAATTGTTTGGTAGGCGTACAGGTGGAAACTAGGGGGAATGGATTCAAATGAACTGAAGTAAACTGCACGGTAGGCGTATAGGTGGAAACAAGGGGGAGTGCAATCAGATGAACTCAACTGCATGGTAGGTGTATAGGTGGAAACAAGGAGGGGGTGTATTCAGATGAACTGAAATGCATGGTAGGTGTATCGGTGAAAACTAAGAAGTGCAATCAGATGAATCACATCACTTTTTTAAAACATCAACAAAGATTTCCATCAACAGAAACAACCAAACTGCCGATTAACATAAAGTTAAAAAAAATCGGTTACTATTTTTTACTATAAGTTGTTCACTGCAACTAGGTGCGCAATAAAAGTGGCAGTCAAATTCCACTATTCAGTCACACGAGAGTAACCTAAGAATTCAAAATTTTCGGGGATGGCTATGCTTGTAGTTTTGCGTGAAGAATATTAAATAAACAATACTCATTATTATACGTACCTTTATTTAATGCAAAGGTTCAGAATACGAGCATTTTTATACTACCATTTGGTTTATTAGCACTCCTAACATGTTTTGTTTGTTTTGAATTTCGCGCACAGCTTATCGAGGGCTATCTAAGCTAGCCGTCCCTAATTTTGCAGTGAAAGACTAGAAGGAAGACAGCTAATCATTATCACCCATCGCCAACTGTTAGGCTATTCTTTTGCCAACGAATAGTGGGATTAATCATCTCATTTTAAATCCCCCACGGCTGAAAAAGCGAGCATATTCGGCGGTAGGGATTCGAACCCGAGACCAGCAAATTATGTTAGGCCACACTTGTAACACTTGCTGTTGCGAGATTTTTTGATGCTTTTATTCAATAATTTCTGGCTATATAATTGAATAAGTAGCACTTAAATAATACATAAAAATAATTTTAGGATTAATTATATTCCAGTCATTAAATGTAGCTCGATCAACCTCTTTTCCTCCTTTCAAGCCCAACATTTTTATTAATAAATACAATTTTTCGCAAGTAACAAAAATGAGAGGAATTAGATTACAGATATGTGGATTTTTATTAATCGCCGCTAAACGATTTTACTTTCCCAACCAAGAATCTTTCATAGTAAAAAATCAAAAGCACAAAAACATTGTATTTCAAAATTTGACGTAAAACCAGTATAGGCTTAAGTTTTGTCATAACACAATAGTAATTTTAATGTGTTTGATACAAAGGCATTGTTACGACAGCGGAAGTCACGTGACTCTAGTAACATGTCATGAGATTCTAGAAAGATCATGTCCGTTCGTGAAGCCTCGCGTGTTCTCCAGACGCCCTCTATTTCGTATATATAAGACCGGAGAGAAGTGACGGTATAGATATGAATAATTGCCGATTGAACATATAGAGACGGACAATTGAGTAAAGCGCGGTACTAAACGGCGTGAATCGTTCGTTATGAATTATAGCGTGTGTTTAACTTAAAGTGACTGTGGAAATTAAGTGTTTTGCAAAGTTGAATTGAGAAATAATAAACTAGTTTTAATTAAGAAAAAACTTGTATCGCTGAAGTTTCTCGGAAAGAATTTCTACAAAAAAATTAACAAACGATCAGAGACGTAACAGTATTTATCCCCACTTGGTTTTAAAACTGAAGCAAAATACTATAATCTTTACCTGTTGCATACATAAAACCATCACAGCCATTAGCTACAAAAATCAAACATTTTCAAATATATTATAAGTAAGAAATGTGAAAACGTACTTTCTTAAATGTTATCTTCTTCTTCTGTAGCTTTTTCCGGTATCTATACGGGGTCGCTATTTTTGGCAGGGTTTTTACGGCCGGATGCCCTTCCTGACGCCAACCATCCCCTAATTTAGCAGTGTAAGGCAACTAGTCATCACCACCCACCGCCAACTCTTGGGCTACTCTTTTAACATTATAACGCCCCAACGGCTAAAAGGGCGAGCATATTTGGTGTGACGGGGATTCGAACCCGCGACCCTCAGATTGCGAGTCGAGCGCCCTAACCGGGCACGTACTTTCTTAAATGTTATACAGAAAATAAAAGATCTAGGAACTATACAAAACGATTATGACGTCAGTTTGAGTACTTGGAACAGTCTGAAGGAGGGGCACTGTAACCTATGGGCGAAATATTCTATGTATATGCTAAAAATTATGGAGGTGGCATTCCACTGGTGTCTGGATATCTTAGAAGTAGGCGACGCACATAAAAATAAACTGGTAATAACAATAGGATGAAAAAATAAAAACGTTATTTAGTTTATAGCAGTGAAATACACATCAAAGCTAAGTTTGAAACAATGGATCATGTTGGTATATCCGTACCATCAAAGCAGTTGCAAGACAGAGGCAGTATTCTGGACATACCGTCACAAGATATACGTAGGCATATCTGTTGCTGTCAGTTGGTTAGTTAAAACGTTTTAGCAGACATTTCCATCTTGCCTGACCATCACAGTCTCCTGACCTCATCACTACTAATCTGTTCACAAAGACTAGTAATCATTTTTTTCAACAGAAGGAAGCCATTGTGATGCAGATTTGGTCAATTATTGGGGCGATATTATTTAATATCCAATACACATATCGTGAACTTGTGCACGGAAGCACATTATGTTAGTTATGGCCAAGGTCTCTGGCAATACCGTATGATGCCATTCGGGCTTAGCAATGCTCCAGCAACATTTGAGAGGCTGATGGAAAGAGAACTGGAAGGCCTACAATGGAGGATATCCCTAGTGTACCTGGATGATGTCATTGTGTTTGTAACAACGTTTGATGGAGGAAATGTCCCGACTAGAGGAAGTATTCAAGCGTTTGAAAGCAGCAAACCTTAAACTCCATCCCAAGAAATGCCACTTGTTCCAGAAAGAGGTGCTTTACTTGGGTCACATTGTAAGTGTGCATGGTGTGCAAACTGATCCTGACAAAGTGAAAGCAGTGTTGATTGGCCAACACCAAACAATATGGGAGAGTTAAGAAGTTTGAATGGACAGTTTCTTGCCAGCATGCTTTCAAGTCATTGAA